TTCGCAGGGGATACAAACACAATGGAAAACAAAAGTACTGATGATTTGAGTGGGCAGCGGGCGTCTCATGAGAATAATTCAATTAGGTATTGGGGAATATCAACTACACGCTCGTGACAGTCTTTTTCTTCGTTAATGCCTCTTCGCCTTTCCCGTCACATCGTCCTCCTCACTGCTACTCAAGGTCGCCTCACTACCGTTAACCCTAAAGCTAAAGTCCACCACACCGACCAGACTGCTGACCGCACGAACAAGTCCCTCCAGGTCGTCGCACACAAGCGAGCTGCACACCTGCAGCACCGCAAACTCTGTGTACCCATGCTGTTCCACATTCTTGACGTCGAGAATGCTTCCGCTGCCGGGCGGGCTTATCGTCTCCGCCAGCTCAGCCATACCTGCCAGTGTTGAATTGTCACTCGTGACACTGGGCTTGCGAGTCGTCGAACGGACTTCCTCGCCTGTGTGAGTGTGGACAGTGACCAATCTGTGCTCCAACTCACTTCCCCTTCTCTGGATGCCTGGTTGCGGCTCGGGCTCAGGAGCTCGGAGGTGGAGAAGCTTGCGAGTGAGTTCATTGGGTCGTGGGAGTTGCATGAACGGAGGCAGCGACTGGCCCGAGAGCAAAGAGTTGGAAAGTAGAGTGAGAGTGGAGAGGATTGTGTGCTGTGTTGGCTCAATACCGGCGAGGACTTGGTTCAAGGCACGGAGCCACTGACGATCGCTCGCTGATGAGGCGGTAGATGGTCTATCGCGAGGTTTCCAGGTAATGGTGTACGCGATCAGTGTCAGATAGCGCATGATGCTCGTAGATCGTCTGATGATGTCTTCATATGTAGCCCTAGGGAACTTGCCACCGATATCAGGCTCCCACTTCTGCCACTGCGCATGGCTGTCCAAGCTAGGGAGCAGCAGCAACAGCTTGCCTAAGATGCGACGTCTCTCCTTCTCCATCTTCTGAGCGGGCGTTCCAGGCATCTTGATGTCGCCGTGCGTATCGTTCATGGTCGCCTTAATGGTCTCGGTGATGACGCTGAAGTAGTTGGCGAGTAGGTAGAGCGAAGCGCTGAGATCCATGCGAAGCCATCGGCGATCCGTAATCGGAGACGGAAAGACGGTCCAGATGAATGCGATGGCACATCCAGCAGCGACGCAGGCAAGACGGTAAGGAGCGAGGAGGTAGGTTGGGTAGTACGGCTGTCCCGTGGCTGCAGCGGCGACTTCGCCAATCTTCTGAACCTGAAGCTCGTAGCCGATGATGAGGACTTGGGTGATGATCATGATGAGCCATACGGGCATGAACCTGGGATACTTCAGGACGAAGTATTGTTCGATGAATGTGAACAACCAGAGGAAGACAACGACACCAGCAGTTCTCTCAACGACAATGTACCAGATGATGTAAGAGAAGATCATGGCGACCAGTGTTCCACCAACACGGCACACGAAGCCAAAGATGGACTGGCCTGCCGTGATCGTCATTCCGATGGCAATCATAATCATCGCCCAGACGAGACGCTGCTCGTTGAAGAAGGTCTGGGTATCCTTGAGGAAAGCCAGAATGCCGACAGTCATTGTTGCCACTGCCACACGGAAGCCGAACATCGATTCTCCCGAACCGACGAATGCGGAGATCTTTCGAAGCCTGTTGCCGAAATGTTGCCATGCGCCATGTGCGGGGAGATGCTCGGGGTCTTTCTTCTTGTTGTATCCATCACCGGCGTAGACCACATTGGCGCCCATGTCCGCCATGTCCGGGTTCTGCTCTGGTGTTCCGTCTTGGGTGCTGCATGCTCCTCTCAGCCACTTCATGATGCGCCTTTGCGAGGGGATAATCAAGCGCTTCTTGCCCATGGTCCCGTCGGCCACCTTAGAGTCAGCGAACATGACCAAGTCCTGGACCGCCTCACCAAGCGCAAGCATGAGCTTCTCCATGTAAAGCATGACATAGAGCTGTGTCTGGTCGCGCTCCTTCATCCTCGTCTCCAATCGCTTGAGATGCAGTTCCTGTCGCTCCAGCTCGGTGGCCTCACGCCTCTCCTTCAACCAAGCCTTGAGCATCTCTCCCTTCTTGTCGTTAAAGTCCTGCACCTTGTCCGCGAGGACCTGAGCAAACCCAGACTCTCCCGGCTTGGGCAAGGCCTTCGCCCCAGCCTCCATTTCGACATCGGCGGTCTTTGACTTCTTGGGTTTTGGTGTAAGTTCGAGCACGATGCCCACGTGCTCCAATCCTTGGTCCATAGCCTCGGTGAGAATTTCGAATGGCTCGTAGAGTTGTAGCATGATATCGTTCCACACCTTTTGCTCCAAGGACTTTTCGATATCAGTGTCGCCGCCCTCGTCGCTCGTACCCCATCCATGCTTCTCAGCCGCGCGCCGGAAGATGTCGACAATCGTGCTAATTCCGTTCAGGGGGATCATGATGCTACGCAAGCGGTTGAAAATCTCGCTCATGTCCTTGGCGTCCAACTTTCCATACGCAATATCTCTCTTGGCGAAGACCATGTCTCCATGCATCTTTCCGAACAGAGCCGAGATAGCCAAGGCCGTAGCCTTCAACTCCCCCGCAGCCCTGGCCTCCTTCGTCATCTCGGGGCCCTTCGGCTTCTTCCTGAAAGCGCTGCTTGCTCTCGTCGGCTCGCGTTCCAACATGTCATCGCTGGACAGAACCTGCAGGTAGTTCAGTTGCAGTCTAATCGACTTCCTGACCAACCCGATCGCGCCCTTGAATTCAGCACTGACAACCTTTCGGCTGGATACTGGGAAGATGAAGAGAGCGACTCCGGTAGCGATACCCATGGCAGAGAGCATAGCCACCAGAAGTCGTCTCACGAATGACTCTGCAGACGCGTTGGTCACCATGAGCGGCCCGAAGGTGCACGCGACGTTCATGAAGATGGAATAAATCATGACGGGGAGATTCATAGCCGGGTACTTTGCGCGCAGCGTATTAGAGATCCAGATGTTAAAAAACAGCCAGATGCCACAAACAGCCGATTGGCTGGAGTTGTAGATGGGCAACCCGGTGGCCAACTCCTCGGCTGTCGCGGTGTTGTGTCGCGCTCGTACACCAGTCCACAGGGCCAGCATGGAGATTGCAGCACCAATGCAGATTCCCGACACATTGAGGACCAAGTTCTGTAGGTACTTGCCTCTCGGGAGAATAGCGAGAGCGAGGACTGAGATAATGGGCACGAGGTAGCCCAGGGTGGTGAAGTATTGCGCAACTGGTGTCGATTGGTAGATGCTGATACCAATGATCGGTGGTAATGAGCCCTTGAACATCATCATGACTGTCGGTACATCGAGACCGAGTCTGGTCATCAGACTCGGCTTCGGAGGCGGCTTCCTTGCTGCACTGGCGCTCGTCGCGTTAGTCGGCGCCCGCGCCGGAGCCGCAGGTCGAGGCTTCGGCGAGGGGCTTTCCCGGTCGGCATCGGGCTGCTGTTCATCGGTACTCATATTTTCGGGAGCATCGGTCGCCACAGATTGGGATGAACTCGAGTTCACCTCTTCTCCGACGGATCGGAGAGTCGAGCGTCGTCGCATGCCGGGCATCTTGATGAGATGAGGTTGAGTTTTTCAGGCCCGAGGCCCGGTGTTGTTTTGTCTTACCTGATGATGTAATTAGCGGAGATCGCCGCCCATCTGCTGGCAAGACATTGCCGACAGAGTTTGCGCTAGCGCGACGTTTTGTGGACTTTGTACTCGTTTTCGTTAAGACCGGATGGAGATTATTAGGAACTAAAATAGCTGGCGAGTCAATCAACCACCGACTTCGCCGATTCATGCCTTGAGGGCACGGGCCTTCATCTCATCTCCTTCAAGGGATGAAGCAGATGAGATGGTCGCCGGAATGGTCGCACAGGGAGCCGTTCGGAAGATTAGGCAACTTGAGTTGGGGATATCGACGTTGGAATCAACCTCAGATGAACTTCAAATGTCTGAAAGATTCGCATCAAAGTTGATTTTCATGGACAAGCCTCTTCATCAAAGTGAGCAGACAATGGGACGCGCCAAAGCCTGACATAGCATGGTGCCAGCGTGCTGTCGAATCGGGGAATGACTGCAACAGGCCAACAGCAACTTCATTCATCAGCAACCATGGCTACGTTGATTCCCTTTGAGCTTTAGTCGACACATTTAACATGAGCAGGAAACAAAATGATTCGATGTTGCCGTCAATATGGAGGTGATGTAGTATCGGCCCATGGAGGATTCTAGCTCAGTCCAACGTGCTGTCTGCATGCAAGATCCCTGTAGATCAGCCCTAAACCGGGCGCCTATTCCCCGCCACGTCAGTGGGCTGAACCGTCTCCCTTTGCTTGGCAAACCAATGCCGCGTGGCCGTGGAAGCCGTGGAGTTGTGTCCTCGCAGAATATGATGTTTCTTTCGGCGGTTTTCTGTCGAGAACTCGTAATACTCAGATCCTCAGCATGTAGGCCCCAGCTGCCCTTCAAACGAAAGAATGCTGGTTTTGTCGCTTTATGTTCCACATGTGATCAAACCCTTCCCGATCCACACATCCGCGCAACTGCCTCTGAATTAGGGGCAGGGGTCAATTTTCAACCCCGCAGATTCCGGATGAAACAGTCCGTTGTCTTCCTCCAGTCTTCTTCTACTGTCTTCTCTCACGTTCGATTCCAGGCGAAATCATATTCGGTCATGAGATTCCATTTCGGAGTAAGTCTCCAATTTTTGACTACAATCATAGATCGAAATATTTATGGGAGCCTAGGAAGTATCTTTCACAAGAGGATGCGTGCGCCACGACTATTATCAGATCTCTAGCTTGTGAGCTATTTACTTAGGTATAGATGTCTATACAGCCATCTGGAGGTACCAATTAAGCAGCCCCTTTGTGTAAACACGCCTTGTCAAGTTTACCTAGAACTAGCGCAACACGACCTCCCTCATCTGGACAGCCACTTCAGACAGTCAATGAGCGAGCCTCCAACTCAAGTGAGTGAATTCCCGCATGCACACCGCTCACCGACATCCCTCAGAAGTCTCGGTAACGAGTTTCGTACTTTAAATTAACCACGTCCTCGGGGCTAATAGCATTAACCCTCTTGCTTCTGATGTCTGTTCTGTCCAACAGTTGCTCGTAGAGTGGGGCAAACTCCCTCGAAGTCTGGAGATGCGCCAGGCCGAGGAACTGTTTTTTGTCTTCCAAGTTGACGTGGTGCTGAACTCGATAGGATAGGTAGATCTCGTTGAATCGTATGTTGGTGTCTAGATTGTCGCGCGCAGCCACAGTGGCCATGCTGAACAGAGCTCCTTGAGTCACAGCAGGAGCCGCTCGCCGACCCATATCACCCGAGGCGCCAGAACACATTGTCCAAGAGCTGTTTGAGACGCCCTTCTCTAGTAAATAGGGCACAGTTGCACGATATGCATCTAGAATATGATTGTTTAGATCCGAACATTCACGACGAGCTCAGCATATGTTAGTAGGCACTCACATAGATAAGTCTCAAAATTGATCTTCATAATCTCATGAAGAGCAGAAGTGTCAAGATCAATTAGGCTAGTCTCCCAATAAAGACCACCGGCTGGTTGAAGTTGAAATCAGTCAAGTGACCTCGAAGCACATGCAAGAAGCCCCCCCAATCAACAACGGTAAGGGATGAAGCAGTACTCACGAGACGCAAAAACATGCTGAAACGGCGGCAGCTTGCCAGTGCGAACTTGCTCAACGACATCTCGAACAGAGTCCTCAGATGTGATGTCCGCTTCGGCGATCGTGATTCTTTCGCGAGTTCCCACGTAGTCGAAGATCTTTTCGGCGCTTGTCTGATTACGGACAACAGCAATGACACTGCGCTTGGCTTGAAGGGCACCGATAACGGCAGAGACTCCGATGTTTCCGGATGCGCCGAAGATAAGAACTGTTTCTGCCATCGCAATAGTCAACAAATGGGTCGTGGGCGTTTCAGAACAAATCCCAAAAATGGTCGGGACGGACTGTCCGAACAGGATGGGCAAGATGAAGGAATCATTTTATACTAAAATACTCACCGACTTTCACTTTGATTAAACGTGTTTGTTTGCCGAGAAAGATTGCATTTAGCATGGATTCGCCGTCATTCTTAGATGCGAGGTGACATCAAGCATGGCTCTCGGCTAGACGAAATGGTTATGCTGTCCGAAACGAGAACGGCTTCTGGATCGAATATCTGTGCCGAGTTACACAATGCGGATTGAGAACCAATCAAACATCTCCCGCAGTTGGAGAACTGCATTCAATCGGGCCATCAAAGACGACTAGTGAGTCTCACTGCAGATTTAGAGGGGTATTCCCAGGCTGGGCACCCCGCCTTTAAAGCTGTGTAGTTGATATTACCGGTTCATTTCCTGACAACGATGTACGGTGGGTAGTAATGACGGCGCATTGCTTTCCTGTTCGGTATTATTCTTCATTGAGATGCAAGTTTGTCCACGGCAAGCGCAGGAACAACGCAGCAGCGAACGCGCACCGTGTAAGATCTCGAGTCGCTCATTCGTCGGGCCAGGCTTCCGTGGATTTCCACATCCAATCTGCGCAATTTACGACCTAATCAAAATTTTATTGCTCACACAGGCCATATATTTTCAGTGTTAGACAAATAATTGTCGAGCTTACAACTTTTGTAATGCATAGGTACGATTTGCTTTCCGAAGTAAGTCTAAGTACGTAGATGAGCAGGAGTAATGTACTCGACAAAAGTATTGACGAAACGCCGCCAATGATAGAAACAACTTGGAGGAGCCGACGTCAATAAATTGAAGAGAGTTCCTCAAATAGTTGAGAATCAAAGGAAGTTCATGACTAACGAATCACAGGCTGAACGGTTGAAAATTCTCCAAGTCGAAACATCAAATTCACTGGCTGGGCTCATCGTGGCACGGAACCATTGTGGTTTCAATTTCATTCTTCAAAATCACTTGAAGCACGATGAGAGATGAATTTCGCGATATATACCACAAGCATAATTTGCCAAGTGATGATGATATGTTCATGGTCATCGAAGACCAGCATGTAGTCTTGTTTAGTATACATCCACCCGTGCAAGAGATCTATTTAACGAAGAACTACATTGCCTTTAATAGTATCAGCCGATACTGTCAAATGAATTCTGTGGATTGTCATTCACATTGTGATTCTGCTCTGGGTCACAGTGAACGGCCTGAAGTTAACTATTTGCCACCGCAACAACCCCGATGTATCACGAGCGGAGGCTGAAGTGTAACAGCGGTGAACTACTCAGACCGACTTAAAAATCAATCCTGCAATCTGATATCCACAATTTTGTTTGAAAATCAGTCTTACGGCCGTTGCCAATAACGAGCGGAGGTGTTTCCCATATTGGGCCAAGCTTGGAACGAGGGAGAGAGGGCCAGCCACCTTTGGCTCGTAAAAGGACCAGTGAAAAGGCTTCAGATCCTACGTCAAGCACGTAGGATACTCGTCAAAAGGTTACATAGAGGCTGCATATAAGGCTGATCAACATCAAAGGGGTTGCGTACTCGGCACGAGGCATGCGGGCTAAGTGGAGGCGGGGGAATTGGCTCAGCTGCCAACCCAAACGTAAGGGCTGTGCTGAAAGCCTAATGGCTACCCCTTGTGGCCACGCTTGGCTAGATTTCTATGTCACGGATGCTTGTTCAAGGAACCAGGGGTGCGCATATGGCTCCATGCCGCTCTGGACAATTTCTACTAGCTGAAGTCTTCCGGGAGCAAGGGCGCTTGGATCTGCTGTCTGCTTTTCCAAGAGACTACACCCCTAGGTGCTGGACTTGATAAACCCTGAAAGGTCGAAGCCCCTTGGGAGTCTATTCCTGGCTCCGATACTTCTTTCTCACAGCCAAACATGTCGGCACATGAGTTGCGTACGACTACTACGGAAGCCTTGGAAATCCATGATATGGATGTCATCACTGGATGGCCCGAGACATGTGCCTTTTCATTCTATTTCTCGTTCAACGAACCACTAGTCTGAAGGCGCATTCTGACAGACCTTTAAAAATCTTTCGCAACAGCAAGGATGCAGAGGGGAGCCGGGAGACACATTTGCCGCGTGTCAAGCTTGCGGGGCGCCTAACAGGTGGTACCCAGCCATCGGTTACTTTGATGTTAGGCCATGTGGACCCATTCGCGCGTAGCACATTCATTCCCATGAAGACAGGACGAATTCCCTGGAAATAGTCAAATAACCGCCTCTGACGTACGGGCGGCGATTATGCTTCCAACTGACTTGCAATGACACAGTCCTCACATCGAGCGCGATATACCCAGACCCAAGATGAACAGTTGACGGCGTACTTGTATCTGTTGACACAAGGGTAGCGGTCCATGGTACACGTGTTTTGGGGGCTGGTGAGGTGATGATTAAGCGAAACCTGAATGATTGAGCTTCAAAGAATTACCGAGGTCATACCTCTAATAGTGGATGAGAACACTGGAAGTTGCCGTCCCTTATGACTCCTTTGTGTTCTTATTACATCTCTTCCTTGGCTATGTCTTTACAAGGTCAGATCGGGTGTCGAAGTGCTCAAGGGTCAAATACACCTTGGGCATCTTTTCGTTGCTTTTCCATCAACTCTACCATATGTTGCTGTCTGATGTACACCACGCGCTGCCTTGTAGAGCCCAGCCGGCCCCGCTTGCGCCCACGTCAATTTCATGGGCTTGAAGCTTGGCCGGAGCTACCTCCGAATCCGTAGCTCTCGCCTGATCAATAGAAGTGAATTTCATGTTTCGAAATATCGTACTTGAGAGGACGAATTTCTTCCCCTTTCCTCAATAGTGGAGGCGGAAACATCATAGACAGCCCCTGCCTGACATTACGAGGGTCTGCCATGCCCCTAGTCACTGTCCGACACCGCCATATCACCCTCCCCATGCTTCCTATCCCGATACATATTTTGCTTCCACCTATCAACAATATTGAGACTTCTGCCAAACGATTCATTTTGCTGTAACTGGCCTCTGACGCATGCAATCCACTCGGAAGGTGGTCCAATACACCGCATGTCTCGTACACCTGCAAGCTTAGGTCGGCGACCTCGGGATCTACAGCACGTAACGATGATCCATCTTCTCGTTGGCAGGTACTCAGCCTCCACGTGGTTGAGCACGAGATATGGTCTGCATGCAACCTGACGTTGGCACTTCCCATGTAACTAAGTCCTAGAAAGAAGAAAATGAACGGCTCTAGCGCTGCACTATGGATATCTGGGTACATCACGTACGCATGCTTATTTATCATTTCCGTACGCGTAAATGTGTACCACAGTGTGATGTTTGAGTCATCTGCGACGTCTTGGAGCTTTTACGCGCTGGCTTGCATGAGACTCATACGAGTGCTCGAGCACCAGAGCCCAAGGGCAAAACCAGTTGCCGAGTGCAGGAGGCCGCTACGGTTAAGGGTATGCCATCTGACGAGGACGGCTGATGTGGGTGGCAACATCATGAAGATTCCTTGTTACAAGATATGGGAGTATCGTCACTCAACCAGCTGCGCTGTGTCTCGTGGCGTTGTTGCCCAAACCCGGCATTCAGGTACATAGGGCTCACGCCAAATAGCTGTTTGGCTGACTTGAAACCGAATTTCCCCTTTCTGGCAAAATCAGGCCATTTCCATCGGCGCTGCCTGGATTTGATAGCTGTCCGAGAGCCCACAAGCTCTTGCGCGAGGCTGGGCAGCAGGTTCCAAGTTCCCAAGTCAGAGAGATCGACATTGAATCCCTTGACCGAGCGGTTGAGGAAGCCTTCCAGCCTAACGTCTGGGAGGCGGTGGAGGCGTTTAGTACGCAGATCAAGGATGGCGATGTGGTGCAGCTCAGCCCGTTGAAGCTCGGTTCTGACAGGTGATAGAACTGGGGTAGCCTGCCTTCGACGACCTTGCGAGTCTCCTGTCATTATCTTATTAGGTCTTCTAAGTCGTAATCCACTTATACCTGGGGAATACACGACCTTATCCGCCTGGCCCTGGCTATGCTGCCCAATGGCAATCCAAGTCGGTGGTCCATCGCAGCTCGGCCTCCCCGCTTACGTCCGACTACCTTGTTTCCGAGTCCGATCGAGTCGGACAAAGTGGATTTGCGGCGACGGATAGACAACTAGTATTAGTCCTAAGCGAGTACAGTCCGTTGCGTTAATAGCGTCTACCCCCCCTTTTTACTGAAATTATATATATATAATCCCTATATATATATAAAAATTTACCTAATACTATATAGATACTTATAATATAGTAATTAACCTATTTTAATAACTTTAATTAATTTATTCTTATTAAATCTTATTATCTAAGGGTATTATAATACTTCTTAAATACTACTATATAGTTTAATAAGTAGATAATAACTTATCTAGGTATTATTTATTACTTATTACTAATAATATATAGAAATAATAATATATATAATAACTAATATAAGATATTACTAGAGATCCTCTTTAATATTTTACTTTACTATTAATTAGGATTATTATATTTATTAAGAGGGCTTACTAAGTTACTACTATTAAGAAAGCTACTAAAAAAGCTACTATTAAGGTTATTATTATTAAAGCTAAACTTAAAATTAATAATTTAGTAGCTCTTAAGTCTATATTATAAAGAAGGTATATATTTATAATACCTCTATTATTATAAAAAGTTCTAAAAGTATTTTCTTACTAAAAAGTAATAATAATATAGAGGAAGTAAAAAAAAGATCTACTATATATAATTTAGTTCTAAAGTACCCTACCTTTATTAATATTATTATTTTAATTAAACTTAACCTTAGTTAACCTAACCCCTTATTAAACTACTTAATTTATAGATAATATATCTATAGCTCCTTACTATAATACTAATAATATATTTATATTATTCTATAATATATTTAAAGAGGAGGATAATATAGGTAAT